CTACACTGGTCGTTTTCTCCTGCATTTGTTGTTGCGTTTGTGATAGAAGAGCCAGATCATCAGCGAAGTCTAAATCGTCAAGCTGCATCCTACCTGTCCACTGTATCCCGTGCATTCCTCCAGATGTTGACGTCTTCATAATCCAGTCGATCACCAGGAGAAAGAGAAAGGGTGAGAGTAGGCAACCTTGCCTAACACCGGTCTTTACCTCGAACGAGTCGGTGAGTTGTCCTCCGTGGACGATTTTGCAGTTTAATCCATCATAGGAGTTCCGTATGATGTTGACTATCTTCTCAGGCACGCCGTAGTGTCGAAGAAGCTTCCATAGTGTCGTCCTGTTCACGCTATCAAATGCCTTCTCGTAGTTGATGAAGTTGATGTACAGTGATGAATTCCATTCGATTGATTGTTCCACAATGATACGTAGAGTTGCGATTTGATCTGTGCACGATCTATCCTTACGAAATCCAGCTTGTTGATCTCGAAGTTGGGCGTCCACGGAATCCTTCATCCTGTTTAACAATACTCGGTTGAAGACTTTTCCTGGTATTGAGAGGAGAGTGATGCCCCTGTAGTTGTCGCACTTGCTCAGATCGCCTTTCTTTGGTATTTTGATGAGAAGTCCTTCTTTCCAGTCTGTTGGTTCATGTTCTTCGTCCCAAATCTTACCGAAGAGGATGTGGAGTATCTTGGCAGTTGCTGTTACATTTGCTTTCAGTGCCTCTGCCGGGATGTTGTCTGGTCCCGCTGCTTTGCCACTCTTGATTTGTCTAATGGCCATGCTGATCTCTTCAATTGTTGGTGGGCCAATATCGATTGGGAGGTCTGTGGGTGCTGCTTCGATGTTGGGTGGGTTCAGTGGAGCTGGTCGATTCAAGAGTTCCTTGAAGTGTTCTACCCACCTGTTTCGTTGTTCTTCAATATCGTTGATTACTTTGCCTTCCTTGTTTTTCACTGGTCTTTCTGGTTGACGGTAATTTCCAGCAAGTTTCTTTGTTGTATCATACAGTTGTCTCATGTTTCCCTCTCTTGCAGCCTTTTCCGCTGTCATCGCTAAATCTTCCACATATTTACGTTTGTCGGTTCTGATGCTCCTCTTCACTTGCTTGTTGGCCTCTGTGTATTCGGCTTGTGCCTTGGCTTTTTCCGCTCTGGTTCGGCTGATATTGATTGCTGCCCTCCTGTTCCTCCTTTCCTCAATCTTGTCCAGTGTACCATCAGTGATCCATTCCTTGTGATAGTGCTTCTTTTGGCCCAGAACCTCCTGACATGTTGAAACGATTGCCTCCTTGATACCTTTCCAGCTGCTCTCTATGGTGGTTCCCTCTCCATTGAGTAGGTCATGAAAGGCCTCGAACCTGTTGCTGAGGGCTATGTTAAATTCGTTGAGTTTGTCAGCATCTCGAAGAAAGGCCGTGTTAAACTTTTGTGATGTTGTCCGCGCCATTGTCCAGTGCTTCTTGAGTTTTAGTTTCATCTTGGCGACCAGCAAATGGTGATCGGATGCTATATCAGCTCCTCTTCTGGTTCTCACATCCTCCATCGTCCTCCTGAACTTTTTGTTGATGCAGACGTGGTCGATTTGATTTTGTGTAGTGTGATCCGGTGAAATCCAAGTGGCTTTGTGTATGTTTTTGTGTGGGAATATGGTGCCACTTATGACCAGTTTATTGAAGGCACATAGGTTTGCAAATCTCTCACCATTTTCGTTCCTTCCTCCCAGTCCATGTTGTCCCATGACGTCTTCGTATCCAGTGTTGTCCTTTCCAACCTTGGCATTGAAATCTCCCATTAGAATGGTCAGGTCCTTGGTTGGGCACTTCTCGAAGATTGACTGCAGCCTATCGTAGAATTGGTTTTTAGCGTCTTCATCGTGGTCGTTGGTCGGCGCATAGCATTGGATGATGTTCATTGTAATGCCCTCTCTCTTTGTTCTGAAGGAGGCTTTGATGATCCTCGGTCCATGAGATTCCCATCCTATAAGTGCATTTTGTGCTTTTCTAGACAGCATCAGTGCCACTCCTTGTGTATGTGGGGCATTTTCTTCTTCATGACCGGAGTATAACAGAAGTTCCCCTGAAGACAGTCGTTGTTGTCCAACCTGCGTCCAGTGTGTTTCACTGATTCCAAGCACTTCCAGGTTGTATTTCCTCATTTCCGCAGAAATTTGGAAGACTCTGCCGGTCTCCCACATTGTCCGGACATTCCATGTACCTATAAAAATTGTCGCTCTGGTTGTAAGAAGGTGCATCGGCCTCATGACTTCCGAATGAACTCGGCTTTCATCATGAGACGTCATTTTTCCTTCTACTCCCAGGGCAGAGTTTGAATGGTTTGAATGATTTTTTCTGGTTAGCGTTTTTTTAGCGAGTTGATTTTCTACGGGATGGGGTCGCTAACCCCATGCCCAACCCTCCTCCTTTACCCGGGCTTGGGACCGGCAGTAGCCCCTGAAGGAGCTACAGGCGGAGCCACAGATGCCTTAGAAATATTGCTCGCATCTGCTGGGATAACCGGGTAAGTAATAGTGAGGTTAGACACAGGGCATTAGGGAATGATGGTAAATCAGTTGATGAGGTTGTGAATCTTCATCAACTGAGACGGTTAGGCCACGTGTTACGTATGCCTGAACACCGATTACCACGACGCGCTATGCTGACTAGTGTAGGGGATGGTTGGAAGAGAGTTAGGGGCGGCCAAACCAAAACATGGCATCAGTGCTTGAAGTCACTAACTTCTAGTGTGAGCCATGTTGGCAGATGCAGACTACCTGGTTGGGGTCCGCGTGACTATCGTAACCAATGTTGGAGACTCTAGGTGACATGGCTCAGAATCGATCACAATGGCGTAGGTGTATACACTCCTTATATTCCCTTTTACCTTGAGATTAGAATCGTTTCATGTCTGTCTTCTTTACTGTACTATATCCTTATATACAACCTTTCTTTTATATACTACCACCACCACTAAATTAACTATTTCCATGAATCCGGTGTTCATCTTGTTGTGCAAACGAGGTGTGGCAACTTGGACCGGTGCATAAATGTGCCTGGTCCTACGTTGTAGCTGACTGACTGATTGACTAGGAAGGTAAATCCAAAATTTACCTTTTCAAGATACAGATGATATAAACAATCTATTTATTACACAAAAATTAAAGACACTAGGAGTCAGGGTTAAGATTAAGTATCAAGAGTAAAGATTAGAAATACGGTAAAATGCTTTGTAGACACGGGATGTTGCTTGTGTAGTTTGTTCTAGGACTTTAAGTATCAGCAACTTAAAAGTTACCTTTAAAATTTTCCAAGTAATTGCCCGGCTTTTTTATTGTTTTCATAGTTATCAATTTTAATCGATTTGATGTTGTCTAGTTTTTAATATTCAAGTTATCTATCGTCCCATTTTGAGTCCATTTAAATTTTACCGGTTCACTATTTCCGTATAGTTGGGTTATTTAAAAACGACATACCAGTGATTTCATTGTCCAGTGTTGTTTGATATTGACTGGCATTTATGTGCGTTGGATTGAGGTTATCAAAAAATCGATGTTATTAAGCTAAACATATGTATGTCGTCTTGATCGCATTATGCAAACTAATTATTTCATTACCCTCAAATGCCCTGGTACGACCGAGAGTGGGGAGAGTACGTTCTCCCTCTTGAAATGCTCTCATATGGCCACACGTATATAGCCTCTTCCAGGGAAGTTCTACTCACTGCCTTCTCACAGCATTACTGTTGTTTACAAAATTGAGAGGACGAAAAGCGAATGCCCGGCGCTTTAACTGGGTTGGTGGACACGTAAAGTTCACCTAGAGGAGTTGGAAAGCCCTCATTCCAAACCAATGGTGCACATGGGCTCCAGGATCCTGATGGAACGAATGGCGAATGAACCAACTGTTGGTCACCGGCTACCATGAGACTGCATCTCCTCACGATGCTCCACTGCCTTGTGGACTAGACCTTTAGGTCAAAGGCTCCGAGTGTGGCCCTCTAAGAAAACCACCTGCTTTAGTTTGGGCACCTGAGCAGTATCACAGCCCTCACACAAATCGAATGAGATTTGTGAGGCGCATATTTATCTGGTGCTTCCTTGTACCAATATTTATGTGTTTAAATAAATAATTATTTCATTACGAACTGGTTAAAGAAAGTGTTTCGCTGCTTGCGTATCACCAGTTTTCTTAGCTGAAGAGGATAAAGTGTATCCGAAATTTCAAAACAACATATTAAAAATGTGTAGTTTTAAAAATTTGATTTAAAGCTAACAAGTTATCTTTATAGATTTTCATCAAGGTCTCGTCGAACTTTGTGTTTCATAAATGCCATTCGGGATAAAAAAAATCTTTGCGAATATACACTAGAAGATCGTGATTCAACAGTGTCTTGAAACTATCAGATATAGCTTAAAATAAAAAATATCGATCACCTCACTGTGTTTTTTGTTTAAATGATGTTTAATCAGTTTTACAGGTGAAAACGCAATATAGGCTTTTGTAGTGCATCTAGCAATTTATCTATTGTAGTATACTTGTTTCCTGTACTATTGTTTACTTATTATTGGATATTCTTTAAGGTTCCATATGAACACTTTTCTCCACCGTGCTTCGCTAGCTCCCGAAGTGTCTTGAATCGAATTTTACTTTTTCAGCTTGATGTCAAGCTTATGTAGTTTGTACAAATAACCAGTTTAAATTAGTTTCTTGATTTTCTTAGTTGATGTTCATTAAAAAAAATAACGTCATCTCAAATGATCATATCTCGGATTTACAAAATACTTTGGAAATATTACATAGGTGCTTCTCTTCTTTGTTGAATATCCTCGCTTCAATTATAAATAATGAGGGTAGTGGTATTTTCATTTATGTTTCTATTTATTGCACATCGACTAGACGGTACTTTGTGTCAATCGATTCCAAACACCAGAATCCACATGTTTCGTATATACCACTTTTAATAAACCAGAAATAGTAAACGCATCATTTGTTTTCGGCTTTCAGCTTCACTATGTGCAGCCTATTTATGAAGAAAGTTCGAAGGAATTACAGGAGTAAAGCTGGTGATTCAGACGAGGAGCAAAGTCAAGAGTCTGAAAGCTTATATGATGAAGCCGTTAAAGAAATAACGTCTCAAAGCAAACCTGATGTCCCGTCAATAAAGAAGAATAAGAGCGTTTTAAGTTTCGAGGATGATCTTGACCCAGGTGAAGAAAACTGTTTCTTGATTTTACGGTCGTCATATTGTAGATGATGGTGATACATTTAAAGTTAAAAAATCTTCAATGAGTCGTAAGATTACTAAACAAACGAAAGAAAGTAGAAAGAAGAAAACCCATGAAAATGACGGCCTAAAGATAGTCGGTGACTTTCATAAGAATTTAGTTTCATATGATGAAAGCTCTCCTGATCCCGAAGAGAATCTTGAGGTAGGATTTTGTATAAAGGCCTGGGTCAAATCTAATTAATTTATCTCAGAATTTAAGAAAAGAATTATTGAATTTAGCTGAAGATGAAACAACTCCTGAAGTAGTTCCATCTGTGAAATCCGAACCCAGCAATGTGAATTCAATGATAAAGCGTACGTCTCTCATGCATTATTTAATTTCCACACAGAGGGTGTGATCCCTGATGCAGCAACAATACATTTGGCTCGTAAACAACGTGAGAAGGCTAAAAGTCTTATTGAATCATCTGATCATTCACCTACCTATTATTCATCTAATAAAAATGATGGTAGACGTTTAGTGAGGTAAATCATTTATGTTTTGATTATTAGAAAATTGGGAGTATTTTTATACAAACAACACGCCACAGTTTTTATTTAAAGGTTATCATTGTCAGCTGAATACCAAGAAGGGACTTGTTTAAGGGATTACAATTGATTGGCCCAATAATAAAAAGTTAAATAACTAAACTAACAAGTTATATTTTACGAAATATCGCCGTTTTTAGGAAATTATTTCGACTGAACAATATTCAGACACTAGCAATTAAATTACCGGATAACTGAAGGGTTATCTTTTGATTCCTCTAAATATGATATCAAACGGATAGATGTGAAATTCTCGTTATTAGTGGAGTTAAATCATTATGAAATATTAATGTGTAAGTTTTATTTCATGTCTTGTGTAGTTAGTTTATTGTAGTTTATCTTATAAATATAACTTCAGACTTCATCTGTTCATTTGTACTGTATGTATGCTCGTTTATGAACGGACAATACATCTCTCTTACCACAATTCGTCTCATAACATCTGATTGTGTATAATGTTGGGAGAACATAATAATTCCTAACTCACTTAGTATTGTTTGTTTGGATCTTCCAATTGGTGTTTTTAAGACTGAAAAACTGGTCAGTCTCTAATTGGCATATGTACATACTGTGCGTATTGCCTCGATATAGCCTAAATTCACAAGCATTGTAAGCAAAGATGGATGGTGGCTAGCAGTGGAATCCAGTTTGATGCACGTCTCGTCCTATTTGGGACTCGTCAGCTGGATGTACCTGCATCCCAGAGTAAACATCAACTCTGAGATGCAGGTACATGCAGCTTACGAGTCCCAAATAGGACGAGACGTGCATCAAACTGGATTCCACTGCTAGCCACCATCCATCTTTGCTTACCATAATAATTCCTAGTTGATGATAAGATTTGTTTAGTATTTCAAGTCTTTTTGTTCTTTTACAAATATCTTTTTATTATTAGAGGGTTATTTAGAAAAATAACTTCAGTCATAGTCTTATTTTTTCTCACTCCATTTACTGCTTTCTTCCGTATTTAGAGAAGATGATGACGATGATGAGTTGAATGATGATGAAGATGCCAGTGATATGACAACTGTCTCATTTTCAAACTCTGCCAGTGAAATAAGACCAGTTTTTATTGTTAGTAAAGACCGTGAAACTTGTAGTAAACGCGCAGTTATAGGTGCTCGCTTGAATCGTCGTGAAGAAGAATTGAAATGCATTCGGGAAGATTTCATGGCCGCTGAACATGGTAGTGATCGAGACAGTGATCAAGAGATTGAATGGGAAAGACAACAACTTCAAAAGGCTATTATTAATCAAGTTCGTTTCCGTCTATTTTTCATCATATTTATTTTAAATATCTGAAATAAATAAGTGGAAAGCTTTTTCTTATTCCCTTTGTTCTACCATTGCTTTTACACAAATTTTTATCATTGTACATAGTAATTCTTTGTCCGAAATCGTGTACTGAAAGTATTGCATTTTGTTACTTTTTTAAAACCTTTTTTGTTACTCACGAGTAGGCAATTTTGATAAACGAAAACAAATTCTGAATGATCACTATTCATTATGAAAATAGTTGGATAAAGTGAAGAAAACAAACTAGTCTTTTTATAGTTCTGGAATTTCAGTGTAATTTTACCGTAGATATAATACTTTCTCACTGTACAGTTCTAGTGACAATTAGATTTAAAGTACCTGAAAGAAACTAAATTGGGTTTTCGGGTTCCTGTCAGTTTAACTTATGTAGACAGTTAAGTACTATCCGATATAATTTTTTTCATACTAAGGGAAATTTGCGTTCCAAATACCCTGATTATGTTTGCTCTAGATATATTTGAGTAGTTGTGTGTGACAACCATTTCCCGTTGTCTTTTTAGTTAGCTGGCATTTAGTTTATATGCCTCAAATTCAATGAGAATGGCTTGATTCTCTACTACTGCTATTGTTGGTATCATCGTCTACGTTCTCTTGTTCTCTTTCGAGAAAGTCTTCATCTTTTCAATTGTATCTTCATGTGTTCTATATTTCATGGAATTTCCTATTTGTAAACCTTTAATTATGTAACACTTCTAATGGCAATGACGGTAATCACAAGTTGTTTTGTGATTTCGATTCGTAAAATTCCATATATATATATATATATATATTGTTCACCTCAAGTGTCTATGCTTGACAAATAAACGTAATAACAAGCAATCCAATTTACTCGTACAGTGCCAAGAGTAGGGAATCAGGGCTTCGATTATGAATCAAGGTTAAGATAAAGAAAGCAATGTAGCCACATGGATGAGTACGTAGTCAGTTCTCTCATTACGAATCCCAAGAATGATTAATTTACTTCGAAGAGGTCCATAAAAGTATATGAAAATGTTACATACACTCTATTCTATGCGTACTCGTGGTTCGAATCTTCCAATTGATGTTTCAGACTGCTCAGTCTCCTTTAGTATATGTGCATCCTGTGCGAATCCAGGCACACCCAGCTGATGAGTTCAAAACAGGAGGCAACGTACCTCTTGTATCCTACTGCTACTCACCATCCATCCCGTGCATTCTATTTGTTTTCTACTATTCTTTTATAAAAAGATAATCAATTCCTTATGGTCACTTTCCTGATCCTTCAAGTTTGTTCTCACTACATGTACCAATTTAAAATGTTTTCGTAACTATCATCATGTTTTACTTACTTCTTAACTAATTAAAAATTACCTGTCATCACGTACTAAATTTTATGAAAATTCAATAGACTCTATCTTAAATATGATTGATTTTGAAGTATAATATGTCTCCGCCTATCACTTCTTTATTAAAATTAATGAGATGAGCTCTTAGTTGTGTCATTCTCTTTTTTTCGTCTAAATTTTCCTTTAGAATCCTGCTGTTTTAGAAGCTATTCAACCGATTCTTGGTACTGAAGATTCTAATAATACTACAACACTTGCAGATAGTACTATACTTGGTGGATTAAGCGTTACAGATATAACATTGCCAAAATTAAAAGATAATTTACAAGAGAAGTAAGCTTAATAAATTACAATAAACAGTTGATGATATATACAAAAATAATTTACCGTGTTATTCTTTCGATGGCCCTCCAATGCCCTGGTACGGCCGAGAGTGGGGAGAGTACGCTATCCCTCTCGAAATGCTCTCACATGGCCACGCGTAATATAGCCTCTTCCAGGAAAGTCCTACTCACTGCCTTCTCGTGACATTACTGTTGTTTACGAAATTGAGAGGGAGAAAAGCGAATGTCCGTCGTTTTAACCGGGTTGGTGGACACATAGAGTTCACTTACGGGAGTTGAGGAACCCTGATTCCAAACCAACGGTGCATATGGGCTCCATGATCCTAAGGAAAAATGGCGTATGAACCTATTGTTGGTCACCGGCTACCATGAGACTGCATCTCCTCACGATGCTCCACTGCCTTGTGGATTAGGCCTTTATGTCTTCTATCTTAGTAGACCAAGGATATATAGTTTCTTATAGTAACCATTTTTTTTCTTCAAGTTGGTTTATCTTTAAAAATATGAATATCTCCAGTGTTGTTATAGGTCAGTGGTATAAAAATAATATAAATACAGGTGAACCACACTATAATTTTACCTTTCACTCGTATAGTTAAGACAAAAGTCCACTTTTCGCCTTTTTAAACTCCTAGAAAACTTTAATATTTAGGGAAATTTTTATATTTATATTTCCTTTGAACTTATTTGGTTCAGAAAGTTGGGTAGTTTTATAATCCCTTAAACATAACATAAGTAATGACTTGTAGTTGGATAAATAAACTACTGAAATTCCATGGAATGATAGCTTACTGATTAGTTTATTCAACTGTTAATCATCAGACTACACATTCAAATCCTTTTACATCTACCCTCATCTTAATCAGTTCACATATTGGTAGATCGCTCAAGGCTAAGTTCATAGAACTTTACTTAACGAGAAATGACTTATATTAATCTATATTTCCACTGATGAGGTGTACATTTACATTGAACGTCATTAACAGTAATTTTTATGAGCACTCTATTTGCATGCAAACTTAATTTTAATAAAGTCATCACTTATCTGTTGTATATCATGTAAATTAAACGTCACTTATTTTATTTGAACACGTAAACATTAGTAGAAGGGGGCACCAAATACATATGCGTCACACAACAACAATGAGGCTAGTAGCGGTTATCGTTGATTTGTGTGAGGGCTGTAATACTGCCTTGCTGTTCAAACCGAAGCAGGTGGTTTCCTTAGAGGGCCACCCACCGAACCTTTGACGTAGAAGTCTAATCCACAAGGTAGTGGAGCAACTTTAGTAAATACACCCCCATGGCAGACAGTAACCAACAATAGGTTCATTCGGCTTTTGTTTCCTCAGGATCCTGGAGCCCATGTGCACCATTGATTTAGAATCAGGGTTTTCCAACTCCTTTAGATGGATCCTCCATATCCACCAACCCGGTTAAAGCACCGGACATCCGCTTTTCGTTCTCTCAATTTCGTACACAACATTAATGCCGCGAGATGTCAGTGATTAGGACTTCCTTGACAGTGGCTGTATACGTGTAGCCATGTGAGAGCATTTCGTGAGGGAGAGCGGACTCTCCCCACTCTCGGCCGTACCAGGGCATTTTGGGGCTGGTATCTTGAGTCACTGTACACAAATCGATTCCTAATTCTTCATCGATGTAATAAGCGCCTTATTGGTAATTACATTTTATCGATCTTATGCTAGAAAAACACGTACCACTTGGTTCACTATCATAAGCATATTATACTTGGCGGAATTCTTTGGTTTCATTTAATTGTTTTTGTACACCTAGATCTGATATTTGTTTATCACATCAATACCAGCATTCTAAATTACATGTCGTTCATTGTCTGATTTAATTATTTATTGTTGTCATGGAATTATTTAGGGTTGGTAGTTTTTAATAATAATGTATCCTACTATTTAAGTGTTTATTATCATCATTATTACTATTATTACTAGATACGACAAGTTGAATCAATCACTAACCATGCACAAGACATCATTAGAAGAGGCGAAACGTGATTTAGAACGTGGCAAGATAGTAATTGCAGATGCTCGTGAAAAACTTCCTAACTTAGCAAAACAATTCATGTTCTATCAAGAAATGAAAGATTATATTGATGATTTAATATCCTGTTTCAATGAAAAGGTAGGTTAGTGTTGTTGTTCTTTCTTCATCCATACTGAATTACATCAAATAGTATTGGAATGATGTGCATTGTAAAGCATTGTGAATGTTTATTAGCGATACTGATTAGGAGTTGAGTTTGGTTTACATGTTTCTTTCCTTTCAAATATTGGCGTTCTAGTTGATGACAACCCTCAGAATTATATGATATACCTACTGTCTACTTGTTAATCCAGTTGGAAATGGATTGGATTACCTCGTCGTTTATATTTTAACTGAAATTTGATCAATCTTGATTGCGATCTGAACTCAGTAGCTAAGTGGATAACTCCATAGTTTTTGCAGCGAACGGTACTGGGTTGGAGTCCCGGAGTAAGTATCAACTGTGTACTCCAGGTATATCCAGCCGACGAGTCCCAAACAAAATGAAACACGCTTCCTGGATCTCACCACTTGCTACCTTTCATTCTGTTTGTCTATTGGTTGTCCATATGAACATCTTAGTATTCACTGATTAAATACCGGTTCTGAAATGCAGTCTAAAATCATACTGAAGCTAATAAGTTGACTACTTCGAATGAATGACGTCTTGTTTTGGGCTAAGACTATATTATAGCCATGTAAAATGTGAACGTTATCAAACCTTTACATTGATCAATTTAATTCAGCCAATATCTACAACCAGGCAGTCGAGTAAGTTTTTAAACTCAGAACTTATTAGCAATCCCAAATCACTTGATAAGACTATGAACCTTCGTCTAATGTGATCTGACCAGTTTATATTTTATGCTTATCCTGACTAGCTAAATGGTAGGTTGGGGACAAACCAAGAGAGTTTAAATCAAGGCATTAAATTTACCATTCCGTGAAAGCACTGACTATTGCACTGACCTTTGCACATTTCTGGTTTGCTGCACGTGATAACTGGTATGTAGTTGGTTGTCGTAGTCTGGAATCGTGGTGCAGTTATATTCATTCTTTATCTTACATACTTTCCACTTCTAACTTTTATTCTCACATGTTTAAATTTCCAGTTCAATAGATTTTCGTTTCTTCATGTTTCTCTCATTACATTTGTATCATGTTCTATGTTGTTTCAAACTGACTGGACTATCGCATTGTAATCATTTCGTTAGCAGTTGTACATCAAAAGGCTTATTTATAACGACCCTGTAGAATATTTTTTATAATTTGCATCACGAATTGACCTTGTTTAGACAACCGTCGAAAAGCGGGAAGCACTGGACAGTTGTCTCATCGTAGTGTGAGTCTCCCCAGTAGCTACGCATCCACTATTTTGCCGAGGTTTAAGTCCAAGAGATTCAGATTTGGAGGCAAGCGCCTAGCCTTTCCACCAGTGAGTCGGGAAATCCAGTGGTTCGCATTTAAATTAAATCAATTCGTCATATTGGACAGCTATCTACCAATGGTATTTGTGGGTAACTGCCTCGTATGATTTGGTTGAACCCCACTGGTCATGGCTTCTCATTAGAACTCCGAGAATTACCATTCCAAATGAGTCATTAGTGTGTATATATGTACACTTAAAAAATATCCTGATCTATACATTTTTTGTAAATCTTTTGTAACAATATTTCAACAGATGTCAAAAATAGAATATCTGGAGAAACGTTCTATCATAATATTTCGTGAACGTTATGACAAATTAGTTGAACGTCGACGTATGGATATGAAAGATATGGCTGATACAGTATCTCAGCGTAAGTTACATTGACCTTTGTAATATGACTACATTATTGTATAATTATATGCCTTATAGTCTATACATCTCACTTGGAAGTTTAAAGATACACATATAGGAATACGGTCGAAAAAGACCATACAATGGATAATTAAACGAACAAGAATATTATTTAAGATGAGTTATAGTTCAGTTAAAAGTACAGCCGGAAAAGGTTAAGCAAGCTCATTTCACCTTGTAAAGTGTGTGACAGAAAATTATGGCAGAATCGCCACTGGCTTTTCCTCTGAACTAGTCCTATACAGGTATTTTTCATACTAAGGCGCCATGTCATAAACCGACCACCTCTCTGCTTTTTCTACCAAGTTTCAACACGAGCCAATAATGTGTACTTTGAAAGCCTCCATGATTACATTCGTAATATATGAACAAACCATTTAATTCAGTGTTTCGATACGTTTTTATACGTATCAATTTCGCAGAGTGTTAACTGGTTAAATTTACAAGGTCTGTTTCCCCCGCTTAGAATAAACTGTTAACCTGTCAATATAAATAACTCAATTTATCTTTTTCTGGTCTATATCAAAAAGAAAATTAATTTAAAGAGCCGATCAAAAACAGGAGCATTGTGTAGCTAATCTTTACAACCTGTTTGGATTCTTTAATAACGTCTGTTAATCAGAATATATATTTATTAGTCCAAACTATCATAGCAAATTAATCTGTGTATCCATGATGGGATTGAAATCATGGATACAAAACTATTCAAAACGAAAAGCTTACTGAATACTTACTATATCATTTAGTTTATAGGAAACGACGTGAAGGTATCTTAATTCATGGATTGTAATCGAGGATACCTCTATGAATAACTGTTTCTTCCCGGTCTGTGACTTCTCATCAATATGCGCATCCATGACTCCACTGCAGATCAAACCCGTGGTTGTCAGGTTTTGTGACGTACGAATCTAGTAGTTCACTTTTATAAATCCACTCAATCTCCAACATTCCACAATTATCACTATTCAGTATCATTTTTGATACCTATGCCACTCCCGATATAGTTGATCTCCACTATCACGGTTTTTTACTATGACTTTGGGGAATATAATTATGTTCCAACTAATTGTAACTAACTCTTGTAAAAATTGCCAGTGTCAATGAGAAGCCGTCACTTGTGGAGTCAATCCACCCACGTATGATAACTGAAAATCAAATAGTCAATAGTAAATTTATATGCGACACCAAAGAATGGTCACTAGAATAACAATTATTGTACTTTAATACATTTAAATGACTCATAAGTCGACTAGATAAAGTATCTTTAGTGGCTGTAAAAATGAAAGTCATCTTTGCATGTAAGATTTTGACGGGTACAATTGTAAGTTCAAAGTTGTCAAAAATTGTTAACAATTAATAACAGTTCAAATGATTTAATCACTCCTAACAGACCAACTCACCGAATGTATTCGTTCCATCCAATCCATCTTTACATTTGTTAGATTTTCGGAATCAGTGAAATATTTCTGTATTGAAGTTTAAAACTCATAAGTACTTGTCTTCATTGCTTAAATATTTGTTCGATGGATCCAAGAATAAATACAATCTTTTGTTTTATTCCTGTAATTTCTCATTTAGCAACCATATCATCTACATGTGCATCTAGAACACCTGAAGAAGTAAAACTTTTTGAAGCCAGACGTAAAAGATGTGCTGAACGAGAATCCCGACGGTAAGAATATTTAATAAGCGTTAAAAGTATGTGTGATAGGTTGTATTTTTGTTTTCTATCCCTATTATGAATAAATATGATATCGTCTACGGTTATTAAGTTAGAGATGTTCGAATTATAGTCACATAAACGATGTGAAACAATTGTAACCCAAATACCCTGATACGGCCACATGTACATAGCCACTGCCAAGGAAGTTGTACTCACTACCTTCTCGTGGCGGATTTGTTGTTTGCGAAATCCAAAGGATAAGAAGAGAACATCCAACACTTAAAGCGGGTTGGTGGTACGGCAAATCCACCTAGAGGTGTTAGGAAACCCTGACTCCAAATCAGTGGTGTATGTGGGCTCCAGTATCATAAGGGAACAAATGGAATATGAACCTATTGTTGGTCACGGGCTGCCATGAAACCGCATCTCCTAACGTCGCTCCACTGCCTTGTGCATTAGACCTTTAAATCAAAGGCTCAAGGAGTGACCCCCTGAGTTAACCACCTATTTCGGTCTGGGCACCCGGGGAGTGTCCCTTCTCGCATACAAATTGGATGGTAACTACTTTATGTGTCGCATATATATTTTGGGGGCCCTATGAACCAACGTTAATGTGTTTAGACAATAATAATGACGATGTATGACAACATTTCTACCATTCTTCATGCACTAATATATTCAACACCAAAAAATCTCCTCCTTTATAAAAGGATTTATTTTCGAAACAAAAGGCAATCATATTGTACAGCTGGTCTGTAAATGTAACTAGTAATTTTGAAAAAAATAGAAGAACAGTTAAAGTAACCAAGGAGAGAGAGAGGGCTGAGAAGTGAGAATTCAATTTTACTTATTATTTAAGTTTGCATTCAATTTACATTTACATACGTTTTTTTCTACCTTATTCAAATAGAATACGACGTCAACGTGCTAGAGAATTACAAAATCCTAATGTCATACAAGTTCACGTTGATGGAACTAGTACAGATGATGAAGAACCACAGGCTGCAATTGTTAAACGTTCAGCTGATATAGGTTAGTATTTTTTTATGTGCATTTTTTCTGTTTGTTAATGTTGAATCGGCTTCCGGAGAACTTCAACGGAGCCTCCAGAGGCCCAAAAAGCAGCCGAAGAGCCCTAGCCAATCAGGGTATGATGGAACATTCTAGAGTTCCAGCGTGGCGTGCTACTATTGGTCGGTAGCATAAAATGTCCCTAACGGATTGGCCGAAATGTGATGTTGATTTAACAAACGCTAACATCTATAAATACCCATGATTTTCTGTACAAAGACGAACCCTGGAGTGAAGTGTTTCTCTCATACTTGCGCCTTCTCTCTGGTGTTCAAGTCGCTGAGTAGTTCTAGCCTGTGAGTTACCAGAATAGCTTGGGAAACAAATCTAGCGTTCAATTGACGAGACGTATCAGTTAAACATTATTATTTACAATCAGATAAATGATTTGAATCCAATCCTTCGGTCAAAAGTTTCAAAGATTTAAATCTACTCTTCTTGATAGCTGCCATCAGAATATGAACACAAAATGAATAGTTAAAGACTGCTTATAGAATACAGCTTAAAGGACTTAAAAGCAACTGTGTCTTCCTAATACCCCGTGACTAAAGTGTAGAAGTAGTTGTGATGGACCAGAAAATCTACATCGACAAAATAACAATCCTACTGTCGGGTAATAACAGGTTTTATAAACACATCAACGAAGAAAAACCAGAGCTAAAATAATCAAAAGAAAAGAAATTTCAGTTCTTAATAGAATAAAGACAAGCAGTCATCTAAGTCACAAAAATATTTACAAGTGTATTAACCTACCAAGATCAATAATACCATGAATGAAGTGTATATTTACAATTGTATAGTTTTGAAAATGAATTCTCCGAAAGTAGAATTCATCATGGAATCTACAAATAAATAAATTGGGTTGTTTGTGGAGATTGTTAGTAATTTTTTATATATAATTGAAAGCATAAGTTAATTGAAGCTAGACCACCATAGAAAACCTGGAAGCACTGGACGGCCATTTCGTCCTATCATATTATATCATATCATATGCTCACTAGTGACTGGCTCCATGAGCTATTTCCTGGAGTTCTAGTAAGAAACAGTAACCAGCGGAGTTCAATTAGGTCTGTTGGGAGATATAAACTCACTGAAGACATTGGTGAAATGGTTGCTCAACTTGGTGGATTGGCTGAAGTTAGACATTAACACCGTTGGATACCGAGTCGATGGTCTATCGGTTAAGTGCTCACGTGCGAGACTGATAGGTCCTGGTTTCGAATTTCGCGAAGCGGAATCGTAGATGCGCACTGCTAAGAAGTCCCACAATAGGACAAAACAGCCGTCCAGTGCTTCGAGGTTTTCCATAGTGGTCTAGCTTCAATGGACTCATAATTTCAACGATATATAAAAACTGAATAAATTGTTTATAGTATTTTTCCTTTCTTTCATTATTATGGTACTTCATCATTCTACATTTACATATCAAACGTAATTTTCAAAATGTTTCTGATATAAAGTATATACCGCAACTTGGTTCTCTCTCAATAATTCATAATAATGCATAAGCCAATTCGGCTTTTCAGACTCAATAGTTTGTTAGATAAAACACGTCATGGATTCTAGTGCTAGTCTGCCTTCTCGTGGAGGGGGTGCTGTTTACAAAATTCAGAGGACGAAAAGCGAATGCCCGGCGCTTTAACCGGGTTGATGGACACGGCGAGTCCAACTAGGGGAGTTGGAAAACCCTGATTCCAAACCAATTGTGCACATGGGCTCCAGTATCCTGAAGGAACAAATGGCGTATGAACCAATCGTTGGTCATCGGCTACCATGTGATTGCATCTTCTCACGATGCTCCACTGTCTTGTGGATCAGATCTTTAGGTCAAAGGCTCCGGGTGTGGTCCCTTAAGAAAACCACCTGCTTCAGTCTGGGCACCTGGACAGTATCACAGCCCTCACACAAATGGAATGAGATTTGTGTGGCGCATATTTATCTGGTGCTTCCTTGTACCAATATTTATGTGTTTAAATAAATAAAATTAATAAGTACTAGTCACTATTCAACTCTATTTTAAAAAGAGGTTACATACAATCTGTTGAAAATGAATTGAATATACTTCACTGTATATATTGAACTTGTTAATTATCTTAACAAGGTTATTATTATTTGAATCATCCTAATTTTTTTATTTTTATGTGTTATGAACAATTCCACATTGTTGTTGTTGTTGTTTAGACGCTTTACTAGTTGATGCAAATGCTTTATTTGAAGATGTTATTGAAGAATTTTGTGAATTACCATTAATCCTTGAAAGATTTATAGAATGGCGTAATAAATATCCTGAATCATATCAACAAGCTTATATATCATTGTGTTTACCACAATTATTCAGTCCTATAATACGAATTCAATTGATTGGTTGGAATCCTTTAAATGTAAGTTACTTCTTTTCTTTTTTTTTTCTGTCTTTTATGTTTAAAAATGTTTTGAGTGTTTAAACCTCTTCCCAAATCACTTACACATGATAATTATTTTTTGGGGGCCGTTTAGAACTACTGGGGAGGAGGAAAAGTTTTGAAAAGTGGGAAAAATATTGAAATTGCTTTGTTGGTTTGGTGTTCAATAGAAACATTTCATAAATTCCTAGAAAATCATTTGTAGCTCAGGTGGAGGATTTTGATAGAGTTTTGTTCTTTGGGTAGAAGTTTGTGCTGATGATGTCGTTCAGAATAACGACGAAGGCTCCACGATCAAACCATCCAGCTCAAAGAACAAAACTACATCAAAATCCTTGAACAACTACGGATCTTGTGTTTTACCCTGATTTGATATTTATCGATTTCGTTACTAATTTTAGAATGCTTCCAAAAGATCGTAGAACACCAAAATCATTCATAAACCTATTTAACTATCCTTGTTTTCAGTACCTAAATTAACGTTGGACGTAAAACTGTTGCCTTTTATCTTTCACTTGGAGTTCATATGAAGGAGATTTTAGGGAACTAGATTCACTATTTGTCATTGGTTTACATGCTAATGGTGACAGTAATTAATGATACGTTTTTGCTATAAATTAAATGGAAGTCAATACTCCTGTAGAAATCTTACCACTTGAACAAGTTAGTAGTTACTCGGACTTAGCATCTCGGCGTTATAACCTATTGGGCATTCTAAACAAAAAGTACATTTAATCTGAGTCCCGGTGTGTACATTAACACTAGGATTCAGATATATCCATCTGACAAGTCTGAAATAGGACGAAACACACCTCTTGAGTTCCACTACTAGCTACAATCTATCTATTCCATAAGACTATTGTTTTTTGAAATTTCAATGTCATTATTGTCTTAATGTATGTAAACTGTCCCTTTTTTTCTTTCTTAATCTTAGAATCATGCTAATCCAATTGAAGAAATGAAATGGTTTCAAGATTTGTTAGATTTTTGTAATCTTCCATTAGTTGACAATAATAAAAATGCAAAGTCAACTCCTTTAAATAATAATAAAACCGATAAAAGCAATAATAATAATAATGAAAATAAAAATGGCAGTAATCATAATGCTAACAATTTCGATAAAACTTCCGGTAATCTTGATGATGATCTTCGTATAATACCAAAGTCAATTGAAAAGATTGTTTTACAACGAATAAATGGTAAATTGTTATTTTTACTTATTTCACATGTTTTCATAATTTTAATTGAATGTAAATTAACGGGCTGAGTGGCTAAAGCGTTCGATTGCTAACCATTAGATTACATAGTTCGAACGCCGTTCCACTTCGGTTTAATCAACCGGCAAGTGAGTTTCAAAATTGTTCTGCAGGTATCAACATTCCATCATCAACTTGGTCACCTTTAATAAATTGATCTCACGTAGATTTCGCTGTCTTTCTAGACAGCACTATCAATACTAGCTTAGGAAATGGCGAGTTACTAATGTCTCTGGAGAAGTGACTAACAGTTTCTTCTGTCGATTTCAAATATGGCTGATTGATTACTAGCGTTTTCCTGTCATTGTTGTCTGTGCATTTATTTTGATTTGCTTCGTCTTTGATTCGATTCTTGATCTTATAATGGTTTTCCGTTTCCCATAAGTGACTAATCAATTGAATTTATTTGTTAGGATCTTTATCGCTTGATTAGTACCCTGACTGTTAGGTTTTCGAGATTTCCCTGGTCTTTATGTTGCTTGTTTTAATCATCCTTCAAAGTTACAAGTATTCTCTGCTTGAATTTTTGTTCGTCAGTTATCACCAATCTAGAATCCTGCACAGGTATACATCGATCGAAGTCCCTATACCCATCACATTAGCGTAGCGTGAGAGAAGACCGGCAAGATATATAGCAAATTTTTATCAATGATAGTAAACAAATGACTAGACATTAGCGATGTGGTTCCAAAAGAAGGAATTAATTAGAAAAGTAAAAACTATAGGATTATTCTAGATCTAGAAGATTTTTCAGAAGAATGAATCTACGTCCCTGCTATGTATTCTGGATCATGTCACCTAAAGTCTCCAAGTATTGATCACGATTATCACACTATCTATGATATATTAGTCAGTGAGTAATCGATTCAAATTATTTTGATCCATGCAAAACTGCGTGGTCAATCTGATTTTTTCAAAATTTTATTCTGCATAACGGTTCGATTAAAAACGTCATCTACATGTTATCCATAGGATTAATTAACAGGTACTCACAACGATCCATTATAAACTGTCCTAGAAGTTTTACTGCTAATTTAGCCATCCGACAGTGTGTATTACAGTTGTCAAATTATAGTTAGCCTATCAAAACAGCTTTACCTAATGATAATACTGCACTGTTGTTGAAGACAATTAGTTATTTTCGTTAGCATTAAAATTCAATGCTTATTCCTAGATCTAGAAATATTTCCGCTGCCTATGTCACTGGAATAACTCCTCCGAAGTTTATTAAAGTTGAAATATCTTGGCTTGGGAATATACATATATATCGCGAGCATTAACAGTGCATAATTAAATGTATTGATTCCGGTATAATGCTTCCTGTGAATCTTTTATCTTCCATAGAACTAGTCTCCGCTTCATGGGATCCTTTATCAGAGAAACAATCTTTACAACTTGTCAATTTAATGCGTAATTTATGCTCAACTTATCCAACAATTTGTATTGGTAGTCGTCCAACAGAAAAATTATTCACTTCCATTGTTAAACGTATTGAAAATACAATACAAGAAGATATTTTCATACCACTCTATTCAAAAACGTGAGCATTATTATTACTATTATTATTATTATTAGGGGTTCTGTGGAGATTTCAGTAATTTCTTAGTTGAAATCATGAGTCAATTGAAGCTAGATCACCATGAAAAACCTGGAAGTACTGGACGACCGTTTCATTCTACTGTGGGACTCAGCAATGTGCATCCACGATCCCGCTGTGTCGCCAGACTGATAGGTCCTGTTTTCGAATCTCGCGAGGCGAGATCGTGGATGCGCGCTGCTGAGGAGTTCCACAATAGGACGATTTGGCCGTTCAATGCTTCCAGGTTTTCCATGGTGATCTAGCTTCAATTGACTCATGATTTCAACTGTGAAAATTATTATCATTAATGATTTTTTTAGCGAGTTAACTTGACAAATAATTTTTTCATGTTTCCAAACACCAAAGGGATCTTGTGGTGATTGAAATTTGAAATGTATAAGTGATGTGATGGGATAAACAGACGATGTTTTTGGGTCAATGTTTTTTACATTAATTCATTAAGACAACATAAAAAACATGAAAAAGCAACAACCACATTTTACAAGGCTGTAGGTATCTGAATTCAGTAACTAAGGGGATAACGCGATGACGTTTGAAGCGAACGGTACTGAGTTCAAATTTTAGAGTGTGAATATTAACACTGGAATCCAGGTACGTCCAGCTGACGAATCCCGAAAAGGGCGTGAAACATCTGTTCTGGATTCCGCCGCTAACCACCATCTATCCCTGCTTATAGTGCTTGTCACTTAATGACAATACAGGAAAAATTCACATACGTTCCACATATGCCTAAAAGAGACTAAACAACTGCAGTTCTAAAGATCATTGGGAAGACAAACCAATACATTTGAGCGGAAATAGATATCTAGTGTTTGCTTTGATATCATTCGGTAGTAGTGTTGTGAACAGGACACGTGTGGGGCCAGTCGAATGTATTTGAGCACAAAATTACAGAATATCTCAATAAATCTGACAACCATACAGTAAATAGTAATTTGCAAACTATCAGTCAATTGTCTCAATCTTGGCTATTCCTTGTGCAAATATCACTCCATTGTCTCTGATTTCATTGTTCATGCATTTTCATACCAATCGCGTTCCGTTCCTGTTCTTCCCTTATCGATTGTCTGCTGAAATACATTCTATGTCTGACCATCACCATATATTACTTATGTAGATATAAGTAACCCACACCACAGTAGTAGTGTAGTGAACGAGAACTCAGGTGGAGACAGCCAATATATATTGTTTAAGACAAAATTACAGAGTGAAAACCATAAATTAAATATGTCGTTTGCAAATCCTCCCTCAATTGTCTCAATCTTCATCGTTCCTCCATTGCTACTACAATTACTTTCTGTCCCCATTCTCTTCGATTTTCTTAACCTTTTGCTACCAGGCGTTCCACTTCTGATTGGTGTTGCATATACTACTTATGCCTGTCGACATAAGTAGCGTACACCACAGTAGTAGTGTTAGCAGTAGTAATTGTTGTAGTGTAATATACACCATAAGAATGTGAGTAGTATAACAATGATGCCTATTATCTAAATTCAATTAGTATTGTTTGTTTGAATCTTCCCATCGATGTGTTAGGACTGCAACTGATCAGTCTCTAATTGACATATGTGCATACTGTGCGTATTGCCTCGATATAGCCTGACGAGTCCCAAATAGGACGAAACGCGCGTCCTGGATTTCACTGCTAGCCACTATCCATCTCGGCTTACTATGCCTATTATCGTTGTAATAATTTTATTAAAGTAGTAAGTATTCATTAAACCAACATTCTGGAAATCTCCTACTTCCCCTCCCTTTTTATTTCTCTTTGAATAGTTATTGTTTACTGTTGTTGTTGTTTTGATAATTAATTTGAAGACGTGATATTACAAATTAGTTCTTTTTTCTTCTATTATGCAAATTGTTTTATATATCGGTAAACAAATAAGTAAATAAGTAACAAAACACAATGGAGAACAAGTGTATTGTAGGAATGTATCAGGAAGAAAACGTTGTCATTTAACTATTACTGTTTTTTTTCTTGTATTCTATATGTTTATGTATATGTATAGAAGTTGTGTAAAGTGAATGTTGTTATATCTTGTGGCCGAGTGGATGCCCAGTTAATGTATGACGTGATAAAAACCGCTAATTAGAGAGCAGCGAATTATCGATTGGGACAGTGACACACGAATTCCATACGAGCAGTGTAGAGTGCGTATCGGCCCTGCTATCTGCCTAGCTTAGACAGTTAAGTCCAGAACACTAATAACAGCCTCTTCAATATGAATCATTATTCTCAAACATACTGGATTTATATACCAATCAAACAGACCACATAGTACTATAAAGTAGAAAATAACATTTGTACAAGATTTAGCCAAATGCGGCTGTGAATCGGGGGAACAGTAAACAATAGACTGGGAATAACTCAAGAATGGTAAATCGTATAATAATAGGTCAAAATAAAGCTTATAATAAGAGGAACATGAATATGAATGTTTAAGTTACTTAGCCATTATACAATAGGAAATATACATATCACATTGGTCCATAAATAGTCCTCAAATGTTACCCTTCATAATTCTCCACGGGATATAACAATAATCTTCATACATAAGGATAATGAATGGTAACTTTGGGATCTATTTGTGAACCAATATTATGCGTATATTTTTTGTCTTGTAATCGCTAAGTAACTAAACTATTCATATTCGTGTCCCACTTATTATAAACTTTATTTTGAACTATAAACTTCTGTTATACGAATTACTATTCATGAATTACATCCAGTCTATTAATTCCTGTTCCCCTATTCACAGTCACATTCGGCTGAATCTTGTACACGTGTTATTTTCTATTTTATGGTACGATGTGGTCTGTTTGGTCGGTATATAAATCCAGTATGTTCGAGAATAATGATTTATATTTCAGAGGCTGTTATTGGTGTTCTGGACTCAACTTTCTGGGCTAGGCAGAAGCAGGACTGATAGTACTCTAGACTGCTCGTATGGAATTCGTGTGTCACTGTCCCAATCGATAATTCGCTGCTCTCTAATTGGTAGTTTTTATCACATACGTTAACAAGGCATCCACTTCGCCACAAGTTATAACAAAAACAACCTTTATACATGGGTATTTATGAACAGATGAATTATATGCACATCATATCGGTCAATGGAAATGGCTTCCCGTCTACACAGATTTATATTTGATATATTTAATTAACTCGTTCACCGGGTACTTTGGTATGAGCTACACTTTAAATGTAACGGCTATTGATACTACCAAACATGGGTAGGTAGGACGGAATTTAAAGTCTAACCATTAAACTACCTCTCCATAATGCAGTGTATGGTTCTTGCAATCAGCTGTTTAGAATGCCTTACATAGTTCGTTGCCAGATCTCGTTTTACTTAAAGTTACTTGTATCTTTTTCTTTTCCTTGTTTTATATTACAGTCTAATGCAACATCGTCAAGGTCCGGCCTTCATATTCTTCGAGCGCCAATTTAACATGGGATTAAAGGTGATACGCCCTTTTTTATCGTCTAATTTTATAATCGTTAACTTTATATTAAAATATTTTCTGTTGGGTAGTTGTGTAGGAACGTTTAAAACAGTTAATCATCACTATGATATGGTATCAACGTTCCCATCCATTTAGATAGTTACATCAAGGTCTAAATTTAGATATGTAGCCATTGGAAAGGAAAGGATTGAGCATCCGTTTCTTCCTACAATAAAATACTTCAACAACCCAGATCTTATGTTTTACTGCCTAATCTTTGTTCAGAAATTTATTGTGGAAAACCTTGGTTTCTACCATGTTAGTCATTTACCATCAAAGCTTCAATTTGTGCTCAACTAATAGACGTCAGTGTTATAACTTGTGGATATAACAGTCAGTACTGACGGTGTTATAGGTCCAAATCGTTTACAAAAGAGCACATCAGTTCTCTTAAAGAGTAAAAGCATACTTTACCGACGAGAGACAGCTAGAGCAAAATATTCTGGTTAGTGTGGTCATATTGCAGATTGATCAATACTGAATGACTAAACGATATGATATTGGTTGTTGGTATTGGTGTATTACATATTATATTGAAATTAATTACCCTTATGCATTACCATCCTATTGACTGAATCAAGTGTGAACTTGTTTCTAAATTTGATTTCTTCATATTCTATGTAGAATATCAAATAACACTGACAACGGCCTGACGTTCTAATAAACACAGCCATCATCTAATTACAGCCTGACACAAATGTACGCTGGTCCAATTTGCCATAACTGATTAGCATAACAAGATGTAAATACCAAAAAAATCATCAAAGTGATATATTAGCAGTGATAGAAAAGAAAGACTAAACGGTTGAAATATGATTTAAAAAGTCAATGGCAATGTATGTATGAAAGAGTACCGGAATTCATGATCAGGGGAAAAATAAACAATGAATTCATCTTGCACCGATGCGAATGATTCTGAGTTACGTCACCCAACTATCTTTGACCTCTGGTAGCGGTTATCATGCGAATCCCAACTAGACAGTCCGCAATTACATGACTCAGTTCAATATTGAATGATTACATGAATTAATACCACGTTTTAATTTGACTTCCCTTAAATTGCCGCTCACCAGCATTCTCCATCCAACTCTGTCCTGAGCCTTCCTTTCCAGTTCTTTCCAGTGGCTATTCATCCTTTTCATATCTGCTTCTATTTCCCGACATAATGTGTTCTTTGGCCTTTCTTTTTTTCGATTCCCTTCCGGATTCCAAGTTAGGGATTGCCTTGTAATGCACATTTGTGATTTCCTCAATGTATGTCCTATCCACTTCCAACATCATTTCCCTAATTTCCTCTTTAGCTGGAAGTTGGTTAGTCCTCTCCCATAAAATGCTTTTGCTGATAGTATAGCATAAGCGACCGCCCACTAGAACTTTAGTTAACGTTAGTTAGTTCACGTATATTATAATTCATTTAAAGTAACATTTTATTTTTTTCGAATAAAGTGTTACATTCATTCTGTTCATTTTTAGCTTTTAAAAAATATTCTACTATGGATCAATCTACTCAGTATGGATACATTAAAACATATTAGTCTTACTTGTTTAATTAATCGTTATCTGCTAGTTGGATTAGCTTGTTTATTATCAGTTGTTACCCTGAAATCAAATGAAGAAAAATCAAATACACCAATGAATTCATCATTTCCTATTGGATTATCAATTGATCAATCTGGTTCATTAGCATTTCGTGATGCTGTACAAAAACTAAAAAGTATAGTTGATTTATTACCTCGTGAATGGTTGAAATCATCCATTACTTCAGTAAAACAAGATGATGATCATAATAATAATAAGGATGATGATGATCATGATCATGATGAATCTTCAAAACAAACATCATTAACTGTAGTTTCAGATCCACTTAGTCAAATTAAAAGATTTTTAACACAATTATTAGAAAATATACCACCTACTCGTATGTATTCAGATATTAATGTTGGTCAAGCAGATATTCAAATCATTGAACGGTATGTTTGTTTGTATCATATCATCTATGCTATTAATCTCATGTTTCACATCATTCACTTTCTTATACACATCTATTCACTTGCTTATTATGAGTAGTAAGTTGAAAGTTTACCGTAATAAACCGTCGATTAACACAACTGAATTATATAATTATATTATAAGCAAAGATGGACAGTGGCTATCAGTGGAATCCAGGACGCACGTTTCGTCCTATTTTAGACTCTTCAGCTGAATGTACCTGCATCTAAGAGTTGATGTTCACTCTGCGACTCGAACCTGGTACCTTTCGCTGCAAACGCCATCGCGTTATCCACTCAGCTACTGAGTCCTGATAGCCACTTTCTTGTGCAATTGGGTGAAGTTTGAATTCACTTGGTATTGTTTGTTTGAATCTTCCCACTGCTAGCCACTGTCCATCCATTTGTTTATAATGCTTGTGAATTAACGCTATATCGAGGCAATACACACAGTATGCACATATGCCAATAAGAGATTGATCAATTGCAGTCCTAAAAATCAATGGGAAGATTCAAACAAACAATACCAAGTGAATTTATGTCTTTATATATTTAAAATATAAAGTTTCCTACATGTATAAAGTTTAGTTAGTGTTATACAGTGTTATTGTTGTCAGTATATATAACTCGGATACGCGATTATATCTTAGTGTGGTTCTACAAGGATTAGAGGAAAGCAGTTAGAAGCTCCATTCTTGAACATGCAATCGCCTCTAATCACTTCACTAACCAACAGGTTTATTTTGAGGCTGTTTATACAATTTGTCCAAACCTATCTAGATTTCTTCGTACCCAACTCCTTAGAACTGCAGAAGCTTTTAACATCCATGAGTTGAAGCCAGAACTGTGCGTACGACAGAAGTACGTCTTATCCCTTTGGTTACCGTGGCCTTAAACTATATTATTATTATATTTCGCTTTTTAAGCAAAGATGGGTAGTGGTTAGCAGTAGAATTTCGGACGCATGTTTCGTCCTATTTGGAGCCCGTCAGCCGGATGTACCTGCGAGGATACGTCATGGCGTTTGACCATTAATTAATGTTCGTGTAAGGGAAAGTGAAGAGGGTGTCCACTATATCTGATGTAATGTTTTCCTCAGTTGAAACAATTTATTTTATAGATGATATCCAGTTTTTTTCATTTTTTGTCATTTCGTCCTTTGGTTTGCATAGCATTGATTGAAGTGATTTTGTTAGTTTGTGTGTTACACATATTCCAAAAGGCTTCAATAATCTTGTGATTTCTGATGTCTTTTATATATACTAGAATGATCCATTTATATATATATGCCCAAGGGACAACAACCCTAATCTTTCACATAATGCGTATACTCTTACTACTTCTACCGCTATGGGATTTGAATCGACAACTGCATCTCTGTGCTAATGTGGTATGGCAACTTGAATTGATGTACGTACGTACGAAGTTCTACGTTGTGACTGACTGACTGACTTTCCACTATTCACAAGCCCTCCTCTTTACCCTGTACAAAAGTCCACAACCAACTTTTGTAATATTCATATTTCGAATAGACTTGGTTTATATACAGATATACCGGACCGCATCACACTATAAAATGTAAACAACCGAAATTGGCTGTGAATAGCGAAGGCTGTGAGTAATAGATTGGTAACAAATTAAGAATGAGTAAATTCTACAATCGTAGTTAATGAGGTGATCGAAAAGTCATGATGAAAGGAACACATACCATAGTAGTCTAGTTATTCAGTAACTACTTAACAATATAATAATTTTCACAGTTGAAATCACGATTTGATCTAAGCTAGACCATTATTGAAGACCTGGAAACATTGGACGGTCATTTCGTTCTAGTATTGGGACTAAATAGTACGTGTGAACAATAATTAATAATACGAAAAAACCAGTTCTAACTTCTGTAATATTTCTTCATTATAAAAACGATAATAAGAATAATAGTAATAATAATAATAATTTCTATTGTTGCTATTACAGGGAATGTATGGGAACGTTGTTACAACTACGAGATTTATTAAAGAATTGATCCTATATATATCTATGATGAAATACCTACGTTACATTCAAGTGTGTGTGTGTGTATATGTGTCTATGTTTATATGCATATATATATGTACATAGTTTTGTTTTAATAATATCATCATCAATGAGTACATTCATTTTGTATCTAAGTGAAAAACATGTTCATTCTCCAGAATTTTTTTTTGGAAAAAAATACATGTAAACTTGTATAAAAAGAAAGAAGTACTGAAGATTCCCTTTCAATGGGTGTTTTTTCTTCTTTTTCTAAATATATTTATATATACTTTGAGTTGTGTATAATGTTGCTGTTATCCCCCTGATGTACTACTACTACTACTACTACTACGACTACGACTACGACTTCTACTACTACTACTACTACTACTACTACTACTACTACTACTACTAACACCAATATCTAACATGTTCGAATTATTTTTTATTTTTTCCAGACTTGTTATGACTTTTATTCAATTTTATGATATCACTTTTTTATTATGATTAAATTACATATGTGAATGAATAATAAAGTTTTATATGGGATTTTATGACTAGAAACAACAAACAAACAAACGTAGTACGTCATAGAGTTGTTACTTGTTTTTACAGCTCGTCAGTTTACGATAGTTTTATATTATGATGATACATAGTTTACTATGATAATCATTAATGTGTGTATATACTGAATGATATATACCAATTTGCAGATAATTATGAACAAGGTAATATTAAGTTCTTGTATTGGTGGGTATATTGACATCTGTCACCTAATGGTTGCCCTCACCATGGAAAGATACCTTTTGTTGAGGTTTATTTATTTAAACACATAAATATTGGTACAAGGAAGCACCAGATACATATGCGCCTCACAAATCTCATTTGATTTGTGTGAGGGCTGTGATACTGCCCAAATGCCCAGACTGAAACAGGTGTTTTTATTAGGGGACTACACCTGGAGTCTTTGACCCAAAGATCTGATCCACAAGGCAGTGGAGCATCGTGAGGAAATGCAGTCCCACAGTAGCCGGTGACCAACGATTGGTTCATTCGCCATTTGTTCCCTCAGGATACTGGAGCATTCCCATGTGCACCATTGCTTTGGAATCAGGGTTTTCCAACTCCCCTAGGTGAAATTTCCATGTCCACCAACCCGGTTAAATCGCCGGACATTCGCTTTTCGTTCTCTCAATTTCGTAAACAACAGTAATGCCACGAGAAGGCAGTGAGTAGGACTTCCCTGGCAGAGGCTATATACGTGTGGCCATGTGAGAGCATTTCGAGAGGTAAAGCGGACTCTCCCTACTCTCAGCCGTACCAGGGCATTCGGGGGCCTCAAGAAGAAACTGGATTAAGGGTGACTTTGATGATCTGGTTGCGTAACTACAGAACTTAAACGACAATCGTCTCAGATCAGTTACTCACGGCGAGTTTTTATTGATATGTTAACTCCATAATCTATGGGCTTACGACTAGCAACGGTAATTGATGAGGAAATTTAAGATATATTATTTTTATAGCTAGTCTTTTCTGATCTACCTTTCACTGTGCATGTCATTACTACATATGCTGGTTATCTGAGGGAAACATCTTATTGCTGTTACACCTCTATGGAGCCAGAAGTGTGGCTTCATCCTTTGATCTTAAGTAACTACTCTTAGTCTTACTGCTTGATTTGTCAATTGTATCCAGATTTTGTTATTTCAATAAACTATTTGAACGATCGAACCCTCAACGTCGCAAGATAGAAGACTAGTAAGTAGGAATTTTATTCCCAAAACTGTCAAATATAGTACAAAAATTTCATGTATTTAGAGTTCTTTGGATGAAAGTAAATCATCATTTCGGACAGCCAATAGGCAAATAGGGGGTCCTTATCCATCCAATAAGGAAGCTATATGTCGACATTCTAGAATGTTCCCCTAGTGGTGATTAGATGGAATGTCTTCGGTTCCTTCTGGGCTTCTTGAGTTTAGCAACGAGCTATCCTGACACCATACCACATTAGCACGGCGAGATGAAAATATCATTACATAAATCTCCCAGTAGTGGAAGTGGTATCTGTATCAGTAGTAATAGAATAGATTAAATATAGAACAAAGAAAAAGGTTTATGGAGATTTTGGAACCTAGGTTTTAGATGGGAATAAGGAGTGAACATGCCTACAGTATCCCATACGATTTTGAATCATATCACTCGAAGTCTAACCATGTATTACAATAATCACGCGGCCTACAATCAGGTTGTCTTCACCTACTTAAATATCTTAGCCCAATTGTAATGACTCCAAAGATCGGTCTCACGTCTTGATCTCGACACCTCTAGTTTTCCAACTATTTCTGCACCAGACAGCATCGACGTAAGCAGTAGTTAGGCATGCGTAACACATATCCCAGCCATCAGTGTGTTGGAAAATATATATTTAAAAATTGTGCGAAAATGCTTCGACACAGATACAAGAAGAACAATGGTTTTCGCTTCAAACTAATTGCAGAACGAGATATGTCGATATATTAGCGCTCAGTATTGTCGATTAACATCTTCATCAATCCACAGTAGTTCAACACTGGAGAGATGTCGTTATCTTGGTATTTTAATTCTCTGAGGTCTATTCTGTTCTTGCATATGTCGAGTTGATATTCGATTGGCTAACCGACTGTTAGTAATAAATCATATTAGTCACGTTTTTTAGTTCACTATTTCATTCGATCAAATATTCAATAATTTTACAATACAAGGTCTAAGTATACCATTTATCTATCCAAACAGAAGTAAATCTATCATGTTTTAAGCTTATCGTCGAATATAGTATAATAACTAAATGATCAAATTCATTGATATCCAGTCAAATTATAATAAATTCGAACTTCATTCAACCTATTTGAATTCAAAGAATTAGATATATAGTTTTGATTCTAATAAAACGTATGATTCGGTAATAATTATACTAATAGGGATTTCGCTAATGAAATTACAAAATAACTTGAGTAATAAAAAAAAAGAAATGACTTTTAGAACACATTGTCTACGCTTTTTTAAACAGAGATGGGTAGTAGTTAGCAGTCGAATCCAGGACGTACGTTTCATTCTATTTGGGACCTGTCAGCTGGATGTACCTGTATCCCAGAGTTGATGATCACTCCGATACGCAAACGTCATCGTGTTATCCACTTGGCTACTGGGTCTTGATAGCCACCTGCTTGTGCAATGAAGCGAAGTTTAAATTTAATTGGTATTGTTTGTTTGTAATTTCCCATTGTTGTTTAAGATTGCAATTGATCAATCTCTTGTTAGCATATGTGAATCCTTTACGGATTGCCTTAAGTTACAAGCAATATAAACAAAGATCGATAGTAGCTAGTAGTAGAATGCAGTTTGACGCATATTTCATCATACTTGAGACTCGTCAGCTGGATGTATTTATAGTATCTACCTGATATGATGTTAGACCATTTCGTATTTTCTTTCTATGGGATACATTTCTGGCGAAAAACGTACGATAAACAATTCATTAGCGTAAATACATATATAAACAACAACAAATCATAAATTCACTTGGTATTGTTTTCTTGTATCTTCCCATTATTATTTCAGATTACAATTGATCAATCTCTTATTAACATATATGAATCCTTTACAGATTGCTTCATAATCATTCTAAATAAAGATGAATAAGGAGAAACAACACAAAATGAATTCCTTATTCTTTACATTTGTAAAGTATAATAAAACCATAATATTTAATATATTAAATTTCAATAAATACTTCATAATTATTATTCTATTGAGAAATCTATGACCTAAATTATTCATTTAATTTAAATGACATTACTGACAAATAGTCACATCTATCTATTTATCTTCGATACAATTAAAATGAACCTAGTTACCTTAAATATTAAAATGGTTCAATGTTCATATGATTCAAATTAAAGAAATAAAAAAAAAAGAGAGAGAAAAAAATAAATCATTCCATGATTTATTTATAATAATCGTCCTCCCCCCCCCTTCTCTCTTTTTTTTTCTCTTTTCAAAATATAATTTTTTGAAAGAAAAAAAAGTTCATATCCATTATTATTTTGTATTTTTATTCCGGGTAGTATTTATTCTAAAAAATTTTTTTTTAACATGAAATTATGATTATTTTAGGAAAGGGAAGAAAAATGGATTTAATATTTTATGTGATATTAGTTTAAATGTTTTAATCATTCATGAAGTAATGGGAATATTTTGAAAATTATTATTTATGATGAAGTTTTATTCTTTTAGCTGGATGGCTTGATCGTGGAACTTTCATTGTCATTTTGAACGACATCATCATCACTTCTACCTGAAGTTTGTCCTGATGATATCGTTCAGAAGGACGATGAAAGTTACACTACCAAATAATCTAGCTAAGAGAACAAAACTCCATCAAAAATCATTCACCTGAGATACAAATCTTCTCCACCATTATTATTTATCTATTATTTTCAAGGTAATAACAATTATGAGAAAGTTTTGTGGAGATTTCAGTAATTTTTTATATAGCTGGATTCATGAACCAATTGAAGCTAGACCACCATGGAAAACCTGGATGCAACTGGATGGCCGTTTCTTTTTAGTGTGTAACTTCTCAATAGTGCACATCCACAATCCCGCCTCACGAGATTCGAACCAAGGACCTATTAGTCTCGCATGTGAATGCTTAACGTCTATGAAATTGAGTAACAGTCCACCATTGTCTCCACAAAACCGTTTCATCCTATTGTGGGACTCCTCAGTAGTGAGCATCTCCACAAACAACCCTCCTATCATATGCTCACTAGTGAATGACTTCAAAAGGTATTTTCCGGAGTTTTAGTGAGAAGCAGTGACAAGTGGAGTTCAACCAGGTCTATTGTGAGATATCAACTAACTGAAGACGTTGGTGAATGGTTGCCCAACTCCGTGGATTGATTGAATTTAGACATTAACACCGTTGGATGCTGAATAGCTCAGTGGTCTAGAGGTTAAGCGCTTGCACGCGAAAGTGATAGTTCCTGGGCTTGAATCTCGCTGGGTGGGATCATGGATGCGCACTACCACAGATGAGTCCCACAATAGGACGAGACGGCCGTCCAGTTGCATCCAGGTTTTCCATGGTGGTTTAGCTCCAGTTGACTGACGAATTCACTTGTAAGAACAATTAGTTGAATGGATCTTGAGAATATTGGTTTAACATATAGATTACATTCATTATAAATTGATCAAAATTTAGGTACTACTGAATGGCATGGAGGCTTTTATCGTATTATGAAATTCACTAGATCTATATATGTTTGACCTCACCAGGAATCAGAATTCCACCTATAGCTCTTCTAGGGTTACTGCCTGTCCTTATAAGGGATAAAGGAAGATGGTTGGGCAAGGGGTCAGCAACCCTAACTCATACAAAACAACCTTGCTAAAAATCACTAACCAAAATAAACAAATTAAACCATTTAAAATCTGCCCTGAGACTTGAAGGTAGAATTAAGACACCTCATGGTGAATTACGAAATCC